CAGCCAAGCGTAGCGGAAATACATTAGCTTAAAAGGGTCGTGCGTAAAGTGAAAGGTGTTGTGGTCGTTAATATGACTACAATACTTTTCGAAATTGTCTTCAAATTATCGAGCGGTAAAAATTTGAGATACAATACAGTATTCGGTGGAGGTCGTAAAGGTTGAATAAGGGTTTTTAAAGGTGTGACTTTCCTCCGCAACTTTTCTTCTTGACGTTTTAATTGTCGGTTGGAGGGATCTCGTATCTAGTTTGATGTCTTGGAATTATGAAATTATCTTGAAATTTTCATGAAATTATGCAGCTTTAATATGTCGGGATACACTTCTGTATTTCATGGAGTATCTCAAGTATGATTGCGTCATAAATTTTTCACGCTGTTTTTCTTGTCGACGTTTTCATCGTCGTTAAGAGGAATCTTTCTTGGTCTCGTGCTCAAGTAAAAAAGACGACTCCTGCAAATTTAATGCATCCTTCTCAAATGTCAACTGTGAGTGTGTCATATAAAAAAAAAAAAATTCCTTTCATGAGGCCAATTGCAGTAGTTAAGGCGACATTATTGAATACAATAGCTACCAACTGTATTTAAGAAATGATACTGTACCAAATTTCTTGCTCCGGAAAAATATCGATGTAGTTATCTTTGTTAAAAATCATCTTGCATGTTTTGCAGCGCCGTATTGGAGGCGTGTGATTTCGCCCTGCCAGCTGCAGAAAAACTCTTGGAGTTGGGCATGGATTGGAAAGAGGTGTTGAAGCTCATCCCGAAAGCCACCTGGTGTCATCGTTGGTTGAAAACCCTGGGTCTCATGTACGCGGCCAAATACGAAAACGCGTTGAAAGTGTTAGACTCGTGTCCAATATTCTCTGGTTCGCCGGAAGGAAAAGCTTTGAGAGGGAAAATATTCGTCATGCAAGGCCGTTACGAGGATTCCATAACGCATTTTGAAGATGTGAGTTCAAGTCGAGACCCGTACGCCGTACGCTTAGCGTAAGCGTACTAGTAAGTTTTCTGCATTAGTATTCAAACTCTCGTCATTAGTGAAGGAACAATCGTTCGATGTGTAGATGAACTCAATGAGTGGAAGTTCAAGGGACCGCCAAAAAATCCGAGCTAAGGGAACAACTATTTTTTGTTGTGCATGAGAAAGAAGAAATACTGTGCAGAAATTGTAATTTGTTCATATTTTGGGCTTTCAGTTGATACTTGAATAATTTGGCAGGATGCTTAAATTTTAGGTACGGGCTCATTTGCCCGAATAGTCTCTTACATTTTTATTGCGTTTCTCTTTTCGTAAGAAATTCAATAATAGTCAAAGGGCCTCCAGAAAATTGGAGTTATGTAGGTTTGAGGGAAAAGCATTTGAGTTAGTGAGGTTCAACTGTGTTTTCTTATGTACAGTGTATTCAATTTGAGAAGCAGTTCAATATTATGTCGAAAATTCTAGAGGATAGTCTTTGACATGAGATCTCGTTCTGTCTCATCCATTTTTTATGTACTTTGATCCACTTTCAGGCGATCGCGAAAAAACCAACTCATTTGCGCCACACGGACACTTTGGCGCGGATGTACTGCATGTTCAGCTCGTTCAAATTGGATCAAATGGCTGGTGAACTCGACAAAATCACTGAGCGTGTACGAAACGTTGCACCGAACTCAGTCGAATCGTATGTGTGCTTGGCGTATCGGGCAGTCGTACAAAAGAGGTACGAATTGGCGGCGGCCCTTGCTGAGAAGGCGCTGAAAATGGATCCTTACGGGATTGAAACGGCCCTGTTGATGAGGAAATGCATTGTCGATCCAACAAAGTAGGCTGTGTGAGGCTTTCATTTTACAGTATTCTTTATGCACAGTCTACGTCGAATTTTTTTAAAGTCCTGTCAGAATTTTCTTAGAAACAATACATCAAAAACGTCCCGAACTCATAGGCGTCCCCCCTTAAACCTCCGTGACTATAATTTTTTGAGGGCCTTTTGACTAATCTTATTCAGGGAAAAAAAAGTATTTTTATTTATTAAAGGAAATGAAAGACTAGTTGAGCAAATAAACCCTTCATACCGTCGAGTCATCCAAGAAGTAATTCAAGTCCCAGAATATCACCAATTACAATTTCTTGTAATTCATCTTTCTTTCTCCCAACAAAAAATGACTTCTAAATCGATTATTTTTTGGTCCAAGTTCGATTTCAACATTTTTGAGTGCATTCGGATGAATGATGAACTAGCTTTAATTTAAAGTGTTCCGTATTTATTGGATAAAAGTAAGCTTTTGGGTGTTGATATTTTTTGCAGGAAATATTTGTATCTGTGATTCCACAAGTTGAAATGTTCTTTGCTTAAGAGGAAAGATGCATATGCTTTTCTCAAAATATTTCGTGACCCGTAAAAGATGATGCATATAGGCTATGCCTGTAAAAGAACGCAAAAAAGTTCAGCATTTTTGACGAATTATTATTTTTTTTTTGAGATACTGTAAGAACTTTGAGAACATTAGTTCAAATTATGCACTAATGCCTATTATTTGTTTGCAGACTGGACAAAGCGGAGCTTGTACTGAAGCGAGCCAGGAGGGCACACATGACCTGTTTCGATATCTACGATCAGTTGATGGATATTTATACTTCGACGGAAAGAGTCAGTGCGGCGGCTGCTTTGTCTAAGGAAGCAACGAAGGCGTTTGGAGTGACAGCCAGAACATTGCACTTGGAGGCCATTGTTTTGCGAGCAGCTGCTGAGAATTCCGACGTGGAGACTGACAACAGTCTGTATCGACGAGCTGCTGCGCTTTTGGAGAAGTCGATAGATCTGGACTTTTATTATGTTCCTGCTTACGTGACTTTGGTTGAAATCCGACGGTAATGATTCATTTTTGCTTCAACCAATACTATACCTGTATGGTACAGTGAAATGGACGAACAGGACATTTTTTACTTAAAATAAATATTAACGAAAAAAAAAGGCATTGAGGGCAGAAATCATGCCGAAGTTTAAATTCAGGTTTGAAACAAGGTAGACAGTTTTATGCGTCTCCCAGAAAAACATTCGTTCATCTCATTGAAACCACATTTTTGTTGATTTTACGAAAATACGATCTTGTCCGATTTCGTATTTGAGAGGTTGTGTACACTAGAGAACATTTTTGTTGGGTCGGGTGTTCAAGCCACAAGAACCAGTCAAACCCCGATTCAGTGCCACCCTCGCTTAATGCCACAAAATGTGCCAGGACAAACGATGCCAAAAAATTGGGGCTATTGTATCAAAATATAATTCATTTTAGGGGTTCTACTGTAGGTAAAACAGGCTTTTTTTTAATTTTCAGGCCATTGAGTCTGCTTTATGAATAAAAAAGCCGCACTGAGTAATTGGAGGCTCGAATGAACCATTTTTACTGCACTGAAATGTATGTTATTGTACAGAATTCGTTAGGATTTTGCACATATTGGGTCAAGTAAAAGAGTGGAGCTGTTTCCTGAAGTTTTGCTTCAACCTTTCGATGAAAGCATACAATTCCAAAACCAGGTAGAGGGATTTCAATTTTTTTGAACCATCCAAGTACATATAAATTCAGGAATATGATTCTCAAACTTATCCTGAGCAAAGGCATGTGATTCTTCATAATAATCTCATGATATCACTCAAGAAATGCCTTAATTTCCGTGATTTTGGCTTATTTTTCATTCAGAGCAGGACATTTTTTGTGTCACTAAGTGAGTTGGCATTAAATCGGGGTTTCCGTAAAGAAAACAATGGAGGGAGATTTGTTCCAGGGAAATTCGTGGCATTATGCGGGGACGGTACTAAATCGAGGGTTGACCTTGTCTCATATTTTGATCATGATTGTGAAAGAAGAGGTTCTTCGGGAGGAATTCCAACTGATGCGTTTTTTGCTCTCGTCTTTCAGCGAGTTGGAAATGGAAGAAGAAAATATGGAGCTGCTGGAGAACGTGCAAGTGGAACTGCATGCGAACGAAATCTACCGTGAACTCGGAATAACGTACGTCAACTTAGATCGTCACCTGGACAAAGCCATTGCGGCTTTCCACAGGGCTCTCAGACTGAATCAGTTTGACATGGTGGCCGTGAGCTCTCTGCGAAAATTACAACACTTGAGCAACGTTACCCCGTTCACTGCCGAGTTGCGAAACCTGCTGAATCGAATTGAAACGGCGACGAGGGAAGAAGAAGAGGAAGAGACGGCAAAGAATCAGACTGATGAACAGATGTCGGGTGCTGAAAACAGTGCTGCGGATGATTCGCAGCCCTGGTCGGAAGATATGGAGTCTGAGCAGGAAATGAGTGTGGATTGAGGCGTGGTGTTATGCTGTCATTTTACTTTATTTTTATTTTTTACCGGTATCGATGCTGCTTTTGATATTGAATGAAAAAATTTGGATCTGCTGTTTTGTTGCTTGGTCGTGAGTAATCCATGATTTGGTGCCCAAGCCACAAAATGTAAAATGATTAAGAAAAATAAACTCAAAACATGGTCTGCCGGAGAACACGGCTGGAATCTCCTTGGTTGAAGATTTAGAAAGAAAAAAATTAATGCGGTATATTTAAAAAGAAAGAAAAATGTCGATAAAAATGGCCGGATAATTCCCGAGTTGAAATGCATAAGCAAAGATTTTATAAAGGTGGACTCTCCCTTAAACCAAATTCGAGGGACCAGGAAAAATTTCGTAGCAGGGGGAATTTCGTTGCGGAAACCCCTATAACATGGGAAAGAGCCCTATAAGACCGCGAAGAAATTCCTTATACAGAGAAAATTGTTGTAAACAAGATCGTTGTAGAGAGTCTTCACCTGTAGAACCAAAAGCAACGAAATATACCAAAGAACTGATTGAATGAGATTAAAGTAATTAATTGGCGAGAAAGGAAAATAGTGTGATGGGGGAAGTCCGATCATGTTGGAATTTCACCATCACTTGGACGAAACAATCTTGAGATTTTTCTTCTGACAAATTAAGGGGCAAATCACAGCAAATGGAAATTCATAGTTCCATGTGTGACACCTTTTTCCTAGGCACGAGATTTTGGGATTCGTTTTACATGTAATATTTTCATTCTTTCCAGGTCATGTCTTGTCGAATTTTGTAATACGCGGAGAAGTGTTCTATATATTTAAGACTGTTGGCCTGATTCGTGATGTTGCTGGAAGCACCAAATGCGCTTAGAGCATGGCTAGCCCGAGTCCTTGCTCCGAAGTAAGTGGACACCGGTTTCAGATACGAGTTCAAGTATTTTAATTTACGCTAATTTGTTTGTGACCTCGAATCATTTCAGGACGGATGCAGACCCGTCGTATCTTTCCAAGTACGTTTTAGCCTTGCTGAAGAAGAACAAACCGGAGGATGAGCTGCGTGGAGTTCTTTTGTCGAGCCTCGATGTCTTTCTTCAAAAAGGTGCGGGGTTTTGAATTGAATGATGTTGCGTCAAGACTACTGTGTGAGGGTTGTCCCGCTTGGGCTCGACCTTGGTAGCTTGGTTATTTCAGAACTAGGTGTGACTATTGAAAAAATATATACTGTATACCCCATAATGTTGAAAGGTTCTTGGATTTTTTTCGGATTTCCAAAAGAAATTTTTCAATTCACTGCATGATGATCAGTGAAAAATGTGCAGTTACGGTCAGAGTTCTTTACGTATATCAAGAGGGGCAGAAAAAATTTCAGGCTAGCTGAAAAAAGAAATTTCCATGTTTCAGTCATCCAAAATGTGGAAAAGATTATGGTTAAAACAATGACAAAATTGAAAATTTTTAGCCGGCTTGAATTTTTTTTATCATCCTGCGACATTGGTGGAGAACTCTGCCTGTAACTAGAAAGTGTGCAGTGCACTTAGCATAACGCAGTGAATTGAAATTTTCGTTTAAAAAAATCGAAAGAAATTCCAGTACCTGACATCATGGGCGATATCATACTTTTTTTCCCAGTCATATCTACTCCTGAAATAGCCAAGGTTGCGCCGAAGTGGGAAAACCGTCGTATTTTATTTTCACCAGCATAGATACTGCTTCTGTGTGATGTGTCCTTTCGTATTTCTGTATTGAACCAACTTCTTGCTGCATACAACTTCAGAACGTTGAGCATTTTAACGATTTCATGTGATTGTACCGCGCATATGATTTTTCAGTGCATTAAGGTAGTGATAGTTTATGAGGTATTTTTTATTTTCTAGAAACGGATTCTTTTGTTGATGAATTGCTGAAGACGTTGGCAGAAAAAAGCTACGTGAATGAGCCGATTGTGGATGAAGTCACTGTTGCGCCGGACTCGACAACTGCGAACCCAGCTGGCGGAAGTGATGGACGACAGAAGAACAAATCCGGGGATGAGAAGGTTAGATTTTCGTTGTTTTTCGAGTTCCTGTCTTTTTTCATGGTTTTATTTCGTTGATGATCTACGGGGTCCTGTTGAGTCCGTCATTTTTTTTTTTCGTGTTTCAATCGATGATTACTTCTGTTCTATCACAGCTTTATGTAAGTCATCTTTGAAGAATTGAAATATCCTGTTTATCTGCGAATATCCGGTGCTTCAAGTCCTCGCGACAGAAAGATTGAATTGCGCTTTCAGTTATTGCGAGGAAGATTTTCAAAAACATCGTCAGTTTAAAATATTCCTGTTATCTTCCGGCGAATGGTATTAATGTAATGTATTCCAGAAGCCTAAAGGCATATCCCAGGTTTACGAAGGTTTCTAGCGTTCCACATGCGAGCGATACGGTCTTCGGAATCTAAAAAAGGGAATTCGTTGTTGAGAAGTTACACTTCGTGCACTCTTCGCACTGATTTTCATGATTTCGTGTTTCTGCCGCGAGATTTCATTAGATTTCACGAATACGGGACTCCCGTGCAATTTTGTTCCTTAAAGCGATTGTGGCGATTTTTTTTCTAAATCTCGGCCGAAAAACATTTCCGCAAAGTCTGATCAAAGGCGAGGACCGACAGATTTTCAGGAGTGGAGATTTTTGTTGGAGATTTTCAGTTTAATTCAAATCATACACTTTCTCTCTCATGACAAAATTGGTATTTCTCTCTCTCTCATTCGTGTGAATATTCAGACTGAAGGCTTCGGCGGAAACAAGCTTCGTTCTCCGCTGCGGGAAAGCAACGCGCCTGCGCGGAGATCTCGATCACGGAGTCGCAGTCCTCGGGCTTTGCGGGAACGACGTCGTGAATACCGAGGCCCGGGTGCGGGTGCCCCGTGGCGCCAAGATGGGAACAACCATCGCGGGGCCAGGTGGCGTGGGCCAATGTCACGCCGAATGCGACGGTCGAGGTCCCGGTCCCCGGCGAATGGCGGCGGTGGCGGAGGTGGGGCTGTGAGGCGGAGGAGGACGTCGAGGTCGAGAAGTCGTTCCCGATCTTGGTCTCCTGGACGAGGAGGTGAGAGAAAGCAAAGACGAAAAAAAGCGTGATCTGATCTTTATATTGAACAGGTTTTTTTTCATTTGAGGTTTCCAGCGTCCCGAAATCAAACGGTGTTTTTGTTTTTTCTTTTTCGAATGTCGTCGCCTCGAAGTCTTGGAATGCTACAGTAAAATCTCCTTACAATGAACTTCCGGCGACTTCGGAAAAACATTATTTCATTGAGTATTTTTTTGAAATTTTCAAAATTAATGAGGGGAAAAAATGATCACGTCAGACCTGCCTGTGATCAATTAGATATTGCTTTTCTGGCATTCTCAGAATATATAAATTAATGTTTGTCAAAATGGGTGATCTTTTGAAAGAAATTAGCTTCAATCATGCATTCCATTAGTTCCATCAGACTCTCCATTCTGGGACGATGATGCATTGAACCACATGAAAGCATGTTTGTCTTCGATTAATACAGCTTCTATCTATGGTACGAAAACCAGTCAATCACGTTTAGGATCAGAAATTTCAAGTTGTGCCTTCCGTGGTCGGGAAATTTCTACCCAGAGGATATATCCAATATTCCTCAAAAACTTTTTTGACCTGGAATTGGGAAGTTTTTTATAGCAAGAGTTTCGTAAAATGTACTCCATGGGTTTTCTGCTGGAACCTGAGAAAAAGTTGGTAATACTGAAAAGGTTGCTGTTATTCTATTTGTTGTAACGAGATTAACTGCATCAAGAGGTTTTCCAGTTTGAGTTTGGTTAGATAAGCTGGACCAAGAGTTTAGGAACTGATTACAAACAACGTGCCTTTTTTCTGAAAAATGGTAAAAATAAATATTTGATTGTCGGATGGATTCTAAAGACCAAAAATACGAAGATTGATGACCGAAGTGGTGTTGAACGGTCGATAGTGTAGAGTTCTAGACTAGACTATAGAGACTTCGAACGCGTGGAAAGAGTTCATGGTTGAGGTGTTGAATTTTGCGGGAGGACAAAATGAATTAAAATTTGCACGTCAAGAGCAAACACAACTAATGCAATTTTTCGGAGAGCTTATATTTTAGCTGGAAACAGAATAAAGATGGTGTGATGAACTACGGTATCTTTATTTTCAAACGCCGTGATGAACAAATCGTTGCAGGTTTCAGCGTCGCATCCCTTCGTTCCCTGGAATTATGGAATACGGTTATGATTCGATTGATGAAACTGTTGAAGGTTATGAATCGGAACAGATTTGCGAGAAAGAACTGTTATGAATTAGATGGTTGATTGTAAATTATTTTCTTAACGGTTGCTGCTTTCCTGAGGAGCAAGTTTGAAAGATGCGTTGCGCACGTTAGTTCGTGATAGCGTTCTAAGAATTTTTAGTTTGTTAAAAAATGCTGTATGTGGAGATTGAGTTTGGTTTTGAGACCGACGTATGTTCGAACAAAAAATAATTACGTTGAAGTCTAACGATCCCTTTCTCTTTTTTCCATTGATTCAGAGAGGAATCGTGGAAGATCATTCTCTCCAACGATGGAAGACGAACACCCGGTCAGCAAGGATGACTTCCGGCGACTATGTCAGGATTTTTTCCGTGGGCAACGTTGTGAAGATTTCAACAGTAAGTTTGTTCTCATTTTCTTCGGTCTTGTCTTGACTGTTGAAATTTCTTCGGAAAGAGAAAATCGCGTTACTGCTGGTGTTTCAGTCCAAAAAGGGTGTACAATATTATTATACAGGGATCATAAAAAAATTGTTGTAGAGAATCCTTACAACATGAGGACAGAAATCCTGAAGATTAAAAAAAATATATGTAGTCATAAGAAAGAGAATCGTTGCAGACAAAGTTTTTGTGGAGAGTCCACCTGTACTTCTGTGCTCATTGTCACTGAGAATGATTTTCTTCGCAATAACCTAGATGTCACTTGAAATTTTTCAGTTTCGGGAGGCAATAAATTCGCTCATGTTACCTTTTGGTTTCGAGTTCGAGATTCAAACCATGTTTTGTCTGAAATTATCGGTAATGAGATCGGGTGGGAATGAAGAGTAGGAAGAACGTTCATTAAAAACTTTCCATCAAACCTTCGTAAATCTAATTTTCCGGAGGCCTTCTGCCTATTAATTCATCAACACAGGAAAACGAAGAATAATAAAAATGTAGCTTGATGTGTTGTGAAAGGAAGTGAAAGACTAATTGGGCAAGTGAACCATTGCCTCCAAGTTTACCTTCCGGTCAACTCATTCAAAAAGCAATGGAAGGGCCAGAATATCACCAATTACAATTTCATGTGAATTTTCTTTCTCTCCCTCTTAAAAAATGCTTGCCTTGTAACTGGAAATCTCACTAAGTCAAACTTTTTGCTTCCTGGTCCCTTGAAATTCGACTTTAACGGGCTCGACTGCACTAATATTAAAATTGATTTTCTCGGCAGGCAAAGGACTGTGTTTGCGTGGGGATCAATGCCCGTACGACCATGGATCGGATCCCGTTCGTGTAGATGGAGGGGTTTTGCCGCAGGTTTTGGGCCTGGGGCCAGTCGGGCCACAGTTGCCAGTTGTGCCCCCGTTCCCGCCACCCATGTTTCCCGTTGGGCAAGCGGACATGGGATTCCACGTGCCTCCGCCGCCACTTCCCCCGGGGTTTGCGCCGCGGGGAATGCCGCCGCCGATGGGTAAGGATCAGTTGTTGAGGACAGGAAAATGAATTCCTCAAGATTACCGCACTGTTCTCTGTTGAATTGAAAAAAAACTAAAAATTTAAATTTGCAATTCAACGAAAGCGAGGTTTTGCAAGACACGAATACCATGCGTAATACATTTTCATTTTTTGGCGCTAGAATTGGCAGTTTAACGAAGGCGAGGTTTTGCAAGGAATTTAATGTCGTATACCATGAAATTGCAGTTTTTGGCGCGAGAATTCGATATTTTTGATTGTTTTCTCCCGAGGAAAATTCTGACGAGGATGTTCATGATCGAACAGTTGATCGAAACATTGGTTCAAGTTGGATTAGTTGAATTCCGTCAGGTTCGGGATGATTATTGATATACTCGTGCTCATTTCACACCTGTTCATTCGTGCGTTTAATCTTCCATGTTATGACCGTTTTAGCGAAATTCTTTTACATTTAATTGTGGATTCGTTTCATCAGGTATGGGGAGACCTCCTTTCTTCAGTGGACCGATGATGGGACATATGCCCTTCGTGAGTATGAAATCACGAGTATGGTGCGGACTTTTTTTGTTTCATGGATTTTTTCTTTCTTTTTTTTTTTCTCGATAGAATCCACGGATGGGGCGTGGAGGAATGAGGCCTCCGGGACCGAAGAGAGATCCGAAAAATTGTTCTTTGGAAATTCGGAAGATCCCAGCGAAAGAGAACGATATCGTCACACTGTCCTCGCATTTTGCTAAGTTTGGGAAAATCGTCAATATTCAAGTATGGCGAATTTATTGTTTTGAATGTTGACGAGTGTTTATGGTGTCTGTTCGAATTATTTCAAGGTCAATTACAACGATCTTCATGATGCGGCTTTGATAACTTTCGCTCTGCCCTCCGAGGCCCACGCTGCTTTCAAGAGCCCAGAACCCGTGCTGAACAATAGGTTCATCCGCGTTTTTTGGCACGATGGGGTTAGTATCTGTTTTCACAGCTTCATTCAAAGTTGAGGCACTGAAATACACATTTCTTTCAATTTTTCCCCGCAGAGTGCAAATGATCCGGAACTTTCGAAAGCTGCGAAAGAAGAGGAGGAGGTGCAAAAAGCTGCTGAAGCGAAGGAGCAGAAGGCGAAGGTTGGTGTTGATTATTTGTCAGCTTTCAATCATGCCTCAGTTCCCACCAGAACAGATTCTTTAAATTCTCCGACCAAGTTTAGAGTGTGGTAATCGTACCAATAGGGCAAATTTAAGCTCAAAAGTATTTTGCAGTAAAAATTTTGTCGAGCTTACGTTGCATAAAGAGGATTAGGTTGAAATACGGTATTGTTGTTTCCACGTTTTTTCGTTGCATTAAGTGTGCTAATCGTGTAATTTTTGTATTCCAGGCAATTGCTGCGATTCACAAACAACAAGAGCTGATTTTGACGCGACAGACAGCGAAGAAACTTGAAGAAGATACAAAGAAGGTTTGTATTTTGCATGCTTTTTGTTTTCCTCCGAGATTCTACGAGATTTCGTTTGGAATTTGTGTTATAGAAGATCCAATTCTCTGCCCGTCAGAAAATTTTCTGTTCGGCTGAAATTTGTAAAACTGACGGCAGTTTTATCGATCTACAAAATTGTGAATTTTTGATGCTTCCTCGCGTGTCCGCTTACACTAGGGTATATAGTTTGTAGTGGGACGCCGAAATTCGGACGATTCCACTCAACGACACTTCTGCCCCGACACCTCGACAATGTCTCGAGATACGGACATGTTTCACACATTTTTATCGAAAATTGAGAAATTTTTTTTTAATTTGGATTTAATTTAACAAATTGATCTACGGTATTTCTATAAAGAAAAACAAAAAATAAATTATCATTATGAAATCAATCTAATTCTTGATAGAAAATGACTATTATTGTATTTTTGCTAGAGTTTTTTGCTTGATGTTTGCACAGTACTGTAAAGCTAGACTTTTTCTTGTCTTTTATTTCTTGAAGCTTCTTTTTATGCGGTCTTCGGCGTAATAGTTTTCTGTATCTTGAAGTTTTGAAAAAAATCTTTTTTTAGGGATTTTATCCACAATTTTTGACGAACAGGAGAACCAATTAAATATGTTTGATTTACATCTACGGGAAACGTGATCCGACATTGGGACAAGGTCCAAGCATCAATTATGTCCGCATTTCAGGGTCCCCCAATGTATACTTGAATAATTTTTTTTTGTGACATGCACTCGAGCTGAAATGGCTGGTTGGGTTATCTGATTACCAGGAAGCCATGAAGTTGACGACGACCCTGGTGAAGCAGCGAGCGTTGCTGCTGGAGAAGCAACTGGAGCAGCAGCGCAAACTCATTGCGAAACTCGAGCTGGGCAAGAGCACGCTGTCGCCAGAGGAGAAGGACAAGCTTCGGTCGACGATCAAGTCCCTGCAGACGAGCATTGAGGCTACGAAATTGGACATGGGAGCTGCTGGGGCCAAATCCGCTCTGCCTGCGAGGCCCAAGACGAAGCAGGAAGTGGAGAAGGAGTTGCTGGACATGGAGCTGGAGTTGTACTCTAAGCAGGAAGTTGGGGCGGACGCGACGGAGCTGCAAAAGAAGGTGGTGGAGTTGAAGCAGCTGGCTGCTGTGATGAGTGTTCCGACGCCGGTCATGCCAGGCGCCAAAGTGATGCGTCCGAGTTTTCGGGGCAGGGGCATAACCAGGGCTCATCCCTACGCGTTTCGCGGCGCCCGGTTCTCTTCCAGGTACTGAAAGACACCTTTTAATGAGAGGGGGAGAGAGAGGTGGAAATACGAGGGTTGTCCCATTTCTAATTGGTCTTGGTATCACTATCAAAAAAAAAAAAAAAAGGAAAAAAAATTATAGGACTTAGCCCATGCAATTCTAAGGTTCTGGAATTTTTTCAGATTTTTTATTTTCAAAATTTAGATTTAATGCATGATGAGTGAAAATTTTCCAGTTACGGTGAGACTTCTCCACCCATGTCACAAGCTGTTGAATCTCTTTCAGGCCAGAAGAAAAAAGTGAACATTTCATGTTGTTTTTATTACAAAGTTTCCTACATCTTTTGTAATTTTCACATTTTTCCAATGATTCTTTTATTTGCAACAAATGAAAACTTCATCGCATTTTGCAATTGTCCAGGAACAAGGGTTAATTTTTTTCATTTCCTTTTAAAAAACATCGCCCAAGATCTTGTTTCTGCCTGTGATATTTTTCTTATTTCCCAATCAGAAGTGGGACAGCCCTTGTATGTACCAAGTTGAAATCCTCTTTTAAGCCATTGAGGATGTATATATGATTTTACTCATTTTAGTGAGGTCTTAGTTAACAAACGTCCTCTCTTACAAACATTTTGGGTAATAAACTTTGGGCATTGGCCCCAGTTGCCTTTGCAAACAAACCGTTATTTATACGCTTTGGTTAGGTCATATGTGAATGAGTAAAAAAATTCTTGTTGATGCATTGATCTAAGTGTTTATCTCTAAGATTCTGCATTATACAGGCAAAAAGAAGCTTTTAATTTCAAACTTCTGATTGTTTAAAAAGGTTTCATGTGAGCCAGAAAATTATATATCGAAGTGAAAAACCAGCCCAATTTAAAAAATTTTTAATTTCTGGTGCAGTTCCTTCTCGGTCTGTGATTGAAAGCCTCCCCACAAGAAACACACAAATTTTGCTTTTTTTTCATTTCAAAAAATTCTGGAATTTTCCCGCATGCCCAAGAGTGGTACAACTCTCAAATCTTTTGAAATCAAAATTTTCAAAAAAAAACATTTTCAAGTTGTCCTTCAGTGAGTTTCTCTTATACTTGATCACAATAAGTTCTTAAATTGTAGTTCCAGTAAATATTTTTTACGAATTTTCTTGATTTTCATGGGTGCTTTGTATGTTTTTGAACCAATTGGTTCCTGTAATTTATCAAGGCAAAACTTGATTTGATCAACACACTTTGCTCAGAAATAGATTAAGTTGTAAACCAAGACCCACTTTGTTTGACTTCGATTGGTATGAAGGCTGGGGAAACTTTTTGCTGAGCATGGTGGGGCATTTGAGGTGTCTAACAAATGTTATTGGAATAAAAATTGAAACGGCTTATGATTGAACTGAAAACCAATTATTTGTTGATAAAAAAATATTCTTTCTCACGAGAAAGGAAGGTAGCCCTGTTTAAATTATTTTTTGGAATATTCTTGCAAAATTCCCTCTGGCAGCTTTCACTCGAAAGATGGCACAGTTTTTTTTTGCCCCAGATTTTCCTTCAGAATTCTTGAAATTCTTGTGGCATTAATTCCAAGGGTTGCCGCCGTTAATTGATTATTAATTCCACCAGTCTCATCATGAACCGTCATTTGGGATGTGAAAGTGGCGGATGTGAAGGCGGCTGTTAATTAAAGTACAGTTGGTTAATTTAAGAAGTACAGTACAGTATTTACTGTACCTTGGAAAACCTGGAGGCAACCCTTGAAACTAATGAGTAATGACATGTTGTTTCCTGCAGGGGAAGCTGGGCTAGGCACTAAAATCTGCGAGATGGAAGCCGCAGACTTTTTGTTTTGTTTCAATCATTACTTGAAATGTAGAAAGTATAATGTTTAAAACACCAAAAATTTAATTTTTAGCTGGCTGGACGAATTTTAGCACCCTGTGACATAGGTGGAGAACTCTGGCTGTGACTGGAAAGTTTTCAGTTATTATCATGCTGCAGTGAATTGAAAAACTTATTTTACATTTGAAGAAAATCCCATAGCCTTAGACTAGAGCATAATTATGTGCTGTATCGTTTTTTTTTTTTTTCACAATTACACCTATCCTAGAAATGTCCGAGGCCGCGTCCAAGTGGGACAACCCTCGTATGTAATCACATTCACGTCAAGGGTTGTGCTTAAAGAAATACTAAAACTATATATATATTTTTTTTTGCAGAGGACGAGGCTTCGCTACCGCGCAGCAGTTCAATTCGACCACGACTTCTCTGGACAAAAGGCCGAAACGATTTTTGGTCACTGGTTTCCTGGAGAACGAAAAAGAAAACGTCATTCGGCACTTTTCTGTGAGTTTGCTTTCGTTTTTGTCTTTCTAATCGACTCTGCTATTGGACTTCGTGTATTGTATGTTGAATTTAGGTGAAATAATTGCTTCGTATTTTATGTACTGTATTTGCAGAAATTCACTGGAATGACGAACCACGTGAGTGATGATGCAATTCCGAGCCTGACTTTCGAGTTCAAGAGTCGTTTGGAGGCGGAAATCGCCTTGTCGAAAGGCAGGTCGTTTGAAGAAAAGATGCTGAGTGTGAACTGGTGTGTTGATTCGTCGACGAAATCGGGCCAAACGACGGATTCTTCGGTGGTGTCGGGAGAAGAGGCCTGTGTGGGAAGTGCAACGAATGAAGACGTCAAGCCGAAAATCGAGGACCATTCTGAGGAAGAAGATGACAATGTTTCCATCACCACCGGTCGGAAGAGGAGCCTGATGTCGTCGTTGGACGAGAGTTCCCTCCTCGGAGAAGATGTGAGTGTGGGAATGACTACAGTATTTCGAACTTAGATTTTTAGTGTTGGTAGATGTCACTGGCAGTCAGTGACTTGTACTGTATCTTAAGTTTTTCAAGGATGTTAACCTCAATTCTGTTATCTTTTGAGAATGTGAGTATTTTTACAGTATTGTATCTATTGATGGCTCATGAGTATTCTAGAAAATGTGTTTTATGAGTTGTTTATGTTCATCTCAACATTTTACTGAAATAAAATCTCATTACAACAAACTTTGGGAACTTCAGAAAAAGTTTGCTGTACTAAATAATTTATTACAAGATTTTCAAATGTAATAACTGGAAACAATTTTCGCATGGAACCTGCTATGATAAATGACATCTTTTCTGGCATTTTCAAAATTTTTATTGATTGAATAACTTTAGTGTTCTTGAAAAAGAATTAGCTTCAAATGATGCATAGCATTTATGCTGCGAGCTTTTCAGCTGGGACTAGAGAGAAAGTTTATTATGCTGAAAAATTTGTTGCACAAGATTTTACTGTAAGCCACGCATTTCAACCCGCTTCCGTGTAAATCGCAATTTAAACCCCGCCTTTTTCATTTCATGGTAACATTTTACGCTGTAAAATTCGGTTTAATACTTGTAAATTCGGTTTAATACTTGTAAATTCGGTTTAATACTTCGTGCAGATGCCGAATTTCGATCAAATGGAGATGAGACGCACAGTAATTAGTCCCAATTGCACCATGGTGTAAATTTTTGTATCTCTCGTTGAAAGTTCGGTGTGAATGAGTTACTTTTTGTTTTGATAGGAAACCGCGGATTTGACGCATGAAGAATCTGTGGATGATGAAATACTTCTTCTCGGAGACGACGATGATGAAGAAGAGGAAGAAGACGACAAAGAACGAAGAAGCTGGAGGCGTTAAGGCACATCTTGTCAATTTGCAACATTTTGTATGCTGCTGGCGTGTGTTAATTTTTTTGTTTGTTTTTGTCCTGGATTTCCCGCGCGTGTTTCATTTCTAAATTTCTCGTCGTTGAAAGAAGATGCCGTTATTCATGGTTTACAAAAATTAGGGCCGCCTGGAAAATTGAAGATGATCGCGGCGATTATTAAATTTTTTTTGAAAACTTCTCGGGCTGCATGACTTGGTGTAGTTTCTTCTTTTTTCTTTTCGCGTTATGAATTTTTCGAAGCTGTTCAAAAACACGCGTTGTGTTTCCCTTTCGTTTATACGGCGAACATTGTTCCACCTTTGGAAAGGATTCATTTCTTTTTCCGAGCAACATTGTTTACCTTCAAGTCGGTAATTTGCTGGGTTTTACGGCGAGAAAACAAACCAGAGCATCGTCGCGAAAGGAAATGAGCAATGCACCAAACTGGTTTTGAGAATGAAACAACTGCGTATTTTTTCAACACATCGTTTCTTCAGTCATTCAATCTTCACGTCGCGATTTTTCGAAATTCATTCCTACAATTGCTGAACGTTGCACCGGAGTACGTCACAATAAGTAATCTCGAAGATTCATCACAAGGAATTTCATTATGGGAGGGATGCGACCTAATTTACACATGGCGCCCCGAGCTTTCCTTCAAGTCACTCGAAGAAACCGAGGACTGAACTTTCTCGGCCTCTCGTGCCAAATTAAATCGAACAGTTTGTCGACTCATAATGGGCACGACGAGGTTGTACTTGTCAATCTTGACATTCAAATCAGCCACGTCTTGTTCCAGGGATTTCAGAAGCTTTTCCCATTTGTCAACGGCGCGGGGATGACGAGACGCGAAACTTGGTCCGATTGAAGTCAATCCCGTTTGCAGGCGTTTCCGCAACGAGTCCCTCATGATTCTTATCTCCTTTTCCAACTGAATCCATTCCGGAGCAAAGCCGTTGTCAATCAGCACCTTATGTGTGACAGCAGAACATTTTGAACGAATGGACAATTTTATGTGCACTTGGGTGATGGTTGCATCATCAAGAAAGCAAATGGGTGAAAGTCAACAGCCAGAAATTCTTCCAATAAAAATTTGTTTCGAAGGTAATGTTGAACTACGATAATTTAAACCTCCATGTGCGGAATAACTTTCGGTGTTGGATTTTTCTTTCTACTCTCAGTCTGGATTCGCTTCAAAACAAATGCATTCGAAACCTCCCTGACTCAAAGGCTTTCCTCAACAGGAATTTTTTAGAGCCGTTTTGGCTAATATTCTATTGACACAGGAAAGAGAAAAGCAATACAATTATGACTTGATGCATTTTGAAAAAAAGTGAACGACTATTCGTGCAAATGAACCCTTGTCTCCAAGTTCTGCATCCTGCCAACTCATTCAAGAAGCCATTAAAGACCTAAAATATAAAAAATTATAATTTTCGGAAATTCTTCGTCTTTGTGCTCGTGTGGGATGAAAAAATGCAAGAAAATTGGGGAATGAGGTCTTGAATTGTAGATAACTTTATAGCGGAGCCACTAAATATTTTTACATAATTTTTGTTTTGATGGTATTTTTGGGGGGCGGGGGGGACAAAAAGCGCTCAAGTCCCGAATGGGGCTCACGGCAGGTAACGGGTTTATGCACAGGTATAATTCAGAGGTCACCACTCGCGTACATAATAATCAATAATCTCACCTCGTTGATTTTTTGCGTGACGGTGTCAACATAAGGATTAGTTATGTTTTTATACCGCTCCAAGGGCTTTCCGGAGCCCTTCAGATTGTTGAACTCCCCCTTCGCCATGGACTCTTGAATCAGGTCCTCAACCAAGCGTTCAAAGCCGAATCCCGCTGATTTCTGCTTTTTTGCTTCGCGGGTGTCCTTAGCTAACAGAGAATTATTGTCTGACGCCTCTCCGACGTATTTATTCAAGCGATGCTGGAGAACGTTTTCCGCGGCGAGATTCGCTCTGATCTTTTGATACTCGCGCATTCTTTTGCCAGGTGGTCCTTCCCCCACGCCTTCGTAAGTTAGATACTTGCGAAATTGTGGTGGCTTGTGCTGAGAAAGGCATAATTTGATAGATTTTGCATATGTCATGGCTTTCACATGCGATCGACTGAAAGTTCACTCCATAGACAGGTGCGACTTTCGCCAGCATATGCAAGGGAAATTATCAAATGAGACACCCATCAGTTCGAAGGCATTTCCATTGTCTTCTGTATAATACTTGTTGAGCGAAACAGGAACGAAAGTTTTCACATTCACATGATATAAATTACGAAGGTTCATTGATTTGGGATATGAATGCCAAATGAATGGATAGGTTTCATTCCGAATACATCGCATGGATAGCATATATATTGCGTAGAAGTAGTAATCATCGCATTTTTCGGTGGAAATATTCAGACTAATATACCAAAAAGTCCAATAGTAATATACCGATGTATATACGTTTCATCTCATTGGAAAAAGTATGATCAGATCGATACATTCAATTTTGAAGGTCAGTAACGTGGGATGAATTTCATTCCACGATGAGTATGAAAAAAAACGTGCCGTCAAATACAAGCTTCAGCGACAGCACTGTGTCTTCCCATATAATGGAGATTTACTAACTTTAATTCCATAATCGACATCATGGACAGAATCCACATCATCAGCCTCATTTTCGGCGAAGGGAACAGCTGGGTTCTCATTCAAATATTCCAAGAGTCTTCCATAGGCTTCCTTGACCTCTTGAAATCGTTCCTTGGAGGCATTCGGTGAACCGGAATCGGGATGAAGTCGCTTCGCTAATTTAATGAAAGCTGCACGAACTTCTTCCGAGTTACTCCCCGCTCTCAAATTCAGTGTCTCGTAGTAAGCCTTCGAAGAAAAAGTCCAATGAAGCCCATCTCAGGGATTGCGGAAATAGAAGAAGGAAAAGAACTTACTTTGATTTTACCCGGCGATTCCGACGAATCACGAGCATGACTTAATCCTCGTTTAAGTATTGATGAAATGCGCGGCGATTTGGTAAATGCTTCGAAGATTTTCGACATCCCGCAACATATTAAACAGATCTGCACAAAAGACGTATTAATGATCAAAGGTATGATCAAGGAACTATGATATAAAAAATATGCATATATGAGGAAATATGATGGTCTTCTAACAAGTGAGAAAATAGACAGACGATCAAAGAAAGAGATATGAACACAGCACTCATGCTTTAGCCAATATAATCGATCACATTTACAGGGTGCAAGAAGGTTCTTTGCACTGAATGATTAGGATTGGCACACGGAAGGGTCATATTCCTTGATTTTAAGCAACGTTCGTAGAAATCGTGGATATCATCATACTGCAGGCGAATATAGAACTCGGACTCAAAATTACCAGGACCGTTTCAAAATTAAAAATGACATATTCACATTCAGCATGATCAATTGGCGCTGAACGCATTTGAAGGTTTGATTCAATATGATTTTTTTCAATATTACCAACATTTACGACATAACTAGAACCCAACGACTCTACATCATTAGTCAGCTTCGCAGGAAAGACTTGATGAAAATGCATCAAGCTTATTCGCATGGTATCAATAATGAAACGAAATGATGGAACAGGTGATACGAGTTGAACGTCGCAGTCGAGCTCGTTATCAACCGAAGTCAAGAGTTCTACGTTTGCTCGCATACTTCCGAACATTTTGTATCAATCTTTTCACAGGAGAAACTCAATATAGTCTATAAAAGGTCTCAAGCTCGTCAATTATGCATGAATTCCATGAAACACATAATGCATTAAATAATCGACATCTTGAGCTATGAACATCGTTTATTTCGCCGCTCGTGCAAGATTCTGCTGCAGATCAATTCAGACAATTCCTCAGATTCGCAAGCGCTAGATTCGCATAAAACTCGGACTCTAAATCGAAAATAAAAGTAACCAAAAATACACATCGAAAAATTAAAACCTGGAATGACCAACTTCAAAAGCTATGATTTTCATGACCCAAAAAAGCGCGGAACCACAGGGGAACAATATCTTGAACGACAGCATAGATTATTTTGATCCGAACTTTCATTCTTTCACAGATGCACCGTCGTTGTGGACATGAGATTTCTTCTTCTTTTTTCTCTAGAGAGCTCCGAAACAAGATTGCCCAGAATTTTTTGCAATGCATTCCACATTTACGAAAACTCGTGATTCATCGCACTCAGCAGGATCCAATTGAAAATTTCTAAATCGGTGGGACCATTTGAAGCGCAAGCATGTCTTTCGAGGCTAGCGTAAAGCATTAAAATCCACTGAATTTCAAAATACCAAGCCTTTCCAACCCAATCGAAGCCGGCTTTTTTTTTTCTCGAAAAATCATTGTGTAAGTTCCACCCACCACCACCGAAACAAAACCATCAACCGCATCGTTTTCGCATCAGTCAGCCATCTTCTTTGTGTTCGTCTCTCAGACTCCATTGGACGCAGTGAGTCTCTCCGTTAAAATCTTCTCGAGTTTCACCGAATCCGCGGCAAACTTCCGGATTCCGTCGGACAATTTCTCGGTCGCCATTTGATCCTCGTTCAATGCCCAACGGAATGACTTCTCGTCAAACTCAACTTTCTCCAGGTCACAATCAGCAGCTGTAATAAGATTTTTATTTTTCAGAGACTCAAAGTTTTCGAATCGTGAAAACCGCACAAGATCATGATTCAATTTCAAATTTATTCAGAAGGTTTATAATTTGAGTGGGATCAAAGTACCTGAGCACTGGAAAATTTCATCGAATGGTGAACAATATTTTGACTATCTGTGGGTAAACGTTATTGGCTGTCACACCAGAACAATGAGGAACATTTAACTGATAATTCACAAGAAATTTATCACAAGCGTCACCTGCAACTGCGTCACTTTACTGATCCGACGAGTAATTGTCACTCCACTATTTCACCAATTTCACTGCACTTACGAGCGTTTCACTCAAAATTTAAAACACCAGAAAAAGCAACGTTTCCCAATTCCCACAACACAGGGAACTTCTCGAGTATTCCACACAATCCGATTTCGCACCTTTAGTAGGACACAGACTCTGTGGGACGGGATCATTGGAGTTCTTCAACGCATCGAGCAACTTCGGACTGACTGTCACGAGATCGATTCCTGCCAAAGCTTTCACCTCATCTGTTGATAGAGATAAGAATAATAATCGGTACAATATCAACGCCCTATCCCGGAATACTCACCGACATTTCGAAACGAAGCTCCCATCACAACGGTCTTGTAGCCGAACTTCTTATAGTAGTTGTAAATTTCCTTGACGCGAAGCACGCCGGGATCATCTTCGATCGGAAAGCTGCTCTTCCCAGTCGCCGATAGATACCTACGCCAAATTCCAAAAACATTTTAGGTTTAGAATGCATACCAAAAGAAATTCATGCTCACCAGTCGAGAACTCGTCCCACAAACGGCGATATAAGAGTCACTCCAGCATCTGCGCAAGCGACAGCTTGACAGAAACTGAAGAGAAGCGTCAGATTGCAATGGATCCCATGCTCCTCTTCCAGAATCCTGAAAAACACCATCCTCGGTAATTATTTTAATTTCAAAGCATGAATTTCCGAATCGTAATTTGAAATGACCTGCAAGAAAAAACCTGGGTAAAGACCAAATTATAATCAGGAAGAATCCCGACGATTTAAATTTTAAACTGAAACAGAAAGTACTGTACAGATAAACTAAACGCTTTTCCATCCGAATCGCATGATAGGAAAGGGAAAAATCGCATTTCGAAGCGGTTCTGCAGTTTTCCCCACTTGAGCCCGAACGCTACGATTTCAAATGGCAATTCCTAGGTGTCACTTCAACTTTTATCGAATGGGTCAACCATTCCATGCTCACTGACAATGTGAGGGCTGCAGACATCTTATGCTCCGTGAACCCGAGGTTCCAGGGAAAAATATTAGAAAAATCGAAACCCCCGATGAATTCTTCCACGCGGACTTGAACTCACTTTGCTGCCTGAATGCCTTCCCAAGTAGAAGCAAGCTTGATCAAAATCCGATCCTTACTGATGCCTTCTTCCTCATACAGATCGATCAACTTCTTCGCGCGCGCAACATTCGCCTCAATGTCGAAAGATAGCCTGCAAATTTTCACGAAAACATACAACGCAATTATCAAATAAGAATTCAACCTTCACAACGAAGCTTGACAAGCTGATTTTCCTTCACATGAACGCTTTCACAGTACAATAAACGAAAAAAAAAGTAACCAAAAATACACATCGAAAAATTAAAACCTGGAATGACCAACTTCAAAAGCTATGATAAAAAAAAAAAAAAAAAAAAAAAAAAAAAAAAAAAAAACTCACCGCGAATCGACCTCGGTGGAAACTCGGCCCGGAACAAGCCGCAGGATTTCGCAACCGAAAAGCACAGATAGCTTGTCGATGGCCGCCGCTACCTGCTCAGTCAATTCACTGTTCCGAATAAAAAAGAAGGGCAGGCATCAGCTTTCAACTTCAGTAAAGAATTTAGTACAATTAATGAGACCCATTCGGCAATTAATTTACGAAGAGCGTCCAAGAAATTACCATGCAGCGAAAATACGAGGTAAGTCACGTTAATCGATCCCTTCGTGAAGATTCTAACATAACTGCACCTTGTTTGTTCCGAATATTTTAGACATGTTTCGAGTAACAGTCGAACTTCAAGGGATCACCAAGAGAATTCGAGTTGACAAACAAGTAGGGGAAATAAAAATTACAGGAAAATGTAATGGTGATAATCTTGGCCCCTTTATTGCTTCTTGTATGATTTGGATGCTGAACTTGGAGGCATGTGTTCACTTACCCAATCAGCGTTTCCGTTCCTTTCAAACACACAAGGTTAAATTTCCATTGCTTTTCTCTTTCCTCTGTCAATCGACAGAGGAAGATTGACAGGAAGATTTTTCTCATTGGATCATTCCATGAGAATTTCACGCGAATTGTACTTCAATCCAGACATGTTATAAAAACTAATCTACGAAAAGAAAGGTACCAATTGCAGATCCACCTTTAGATGAATAGCTTTAAAATACAGGCTCAATTGTTACTTCTAGTGAAATCCACTCTTGCCTTCCCAAGGACTAAGTAATAAGATCCATCATGACCGGGAATTTCTCCTGGACATTTAAGTTCGTGTTTTTTTTTTCGATGTCATTAATTGCGTAAATTTTCGCTTGCAGCGTACCCGACTTTTCATTCCATCATTCACATCACAGCAGCGATGAAGTAAAAGTTCTAGTTGGAACGGTGACAAATAAATATTTAAAAAATTTATAATCTCACCCTCCAGATTTCTTGCCATATTCGATAGCTTTGTCGATCAGACTCTGATACTGGGGCATGCTTGCGGCGATTAGAATCAACGACGGGTTTGTCGTGGCATCTTGTGGCTGGAATTCCTTGATGGCTGCAACAGGCAAAAATAATTTCAAGACGAAGTCCACATTGAACATTCGAAACGAATTTTCAAATATCGCACGAAATTTAAGCTTACATTCAAAGTCACCAGTATCCGCTACAACTGTGGTAACTTTCTTCAATTCAGCCAATGAGTCCATGTTGAACCACTCGAATTAATTTACCGAATACGAACTTCACACAAATCTGAAGAGGAATACAAGCGACAAAGATCATATTTAAAATTCGCGAATTTTAAATAACGAGATAGGAATGTCAAGTGGAAACTCATCACTTCGATGGAAATCGTGGAAACATATTACAGAATGTAAACGATGCACAAAACTGGCTTAAAATCCTTTTTTTTTTTCAACAGGAGAAAATCAGATTATAGAGTACATAAACCTAAAATGGACGAGACATTAACTGGACACGTTCCTTTCGAAGAAGTTCAGCAGCGACGTCATATTTCGGAATCTGAACGATGCGCAAAACTCGCTGGAAACCAATTTTTTGAACAGGAGAACGTCGGATTGCGGAGTAAAAAGTAACTTTTCGAAGCTCCAGAGAAGAGATACGAACGCAAAACGTACGAGAAAAAAGGACACTACGTCACTTCAAAGAATAGAAACAACGCAAACGATGCGCAAAACTCGCTTTAAATTAACGTTTTTCCACAGATATCAAGTCAGGTAAATCAGCACCCTTGTCGGTCCAACTCCACGAACAGTCGGAACGCAACTGACCAACATCGGAGAACTCAAATGCGCGGAATAGACAAGGTCATTTCCGAAGTGTGGCGCATTTCATGTCCGATTAGAATAAAAAGCAGGAGTACAAAATAATGAAAAATGGAGGTAGAACCCGTTCGCGCTCTGCTGTCTTCCTTTATTTTCTTCGCTGCATTGAAAAGTGGACCGGTTTCTACAAGGGTACCTTCATAAATGGAACAGGAATTGAAGATATAAATTGAAACGAGTTCACGAGTTGAAGAATCTAAAAGAAGTTAGCTGTCAAACAACTAACACGTCAAAGACACTTTTCAACTTAATTTCCATTCATCACCACTGGAAAAATGCTTCCGAAGAAAAGTCGTTGAAATCTGACGAAGCTTTCCAGTTTTCAAACAGCAATTTATGAGCATCGAGAATTGTTTCACAATTAAAGCCTGCGGTGACGTGACTCACAGCTCACCGGACATGGCGAAAGCCGTTCACGTAATAATTTCCCTTGCGTCAGAATACACTGGAAAATTCCGCTTTCTCACACTATTAAGAAATCTCGGTAAACCAGTTATAAGCAACAAAAATCTGCCATCCATATTCGTTCGATTGACGTTTCTACATTTCCAAAGCTTCAAAAAAAAGAAAGGCACCGTAAATTTCTTTAAAAAAGAAACATTAAATCCGAATCTACCTCGATTACCGCACAAACTTTTTAAATTTGAGAGGGAAAATGCGCGATGCGCGTCACAGGCAGGTACAAATTTTGAAAAAGTTTTAGAAATGCAGGTGTGCATTATATTTGATTCCAGTAGGCAATTCTGGACCATATTCAGCAGAAAAACTTCTTACAGAAAAAATTGATTTTCACTTGAATTTCGCTTCGATTCGTGTCTAAATTCACAGCTGGGGTTTCCTTATTTCTGAAATATTGCGGTTTTAGAGTAACTAAAAATTGGGACGAGCGTCTTCACCCCGGGATACGATTTTATAAAATTTTTCGAATGAAAAATCCCAGTGCGCGTGGTATTCGAATAAATACGGTATCACTAAAAAATCCAAAATTTTCAAACGAAGCGCTCATTGATATGAAAAAGGAAAAAAAAAAGCTTTCAGATTCCAACGAACAGAAAAAAATATCACTCATGCGAAGAATTAAGCACATGTAGAACATTATTTCTCTAACTTATCCAAATTTTTGGAAGACCCTTCCCTGAATCAAATTCTGTACTGTATCACAGCCTTCGAATCACTTAAATTCCTTCCTCACTGCTACTTAGCAAGATCACTTCCTCTACTGAGGATGATTGATGCAATATTTCCACATCACTGTCACTTTCTCCCGAGTTAGTTTCCGATCTGAAGTCACATAATGCCGCGTACATGTTGGCAATGCGCTGTTTGACGTCGATCTTCCTCTTTTTCGGAATTTCAGCATTCAAAATTTCTTCCCCGTGTTCAACACAGGAAATCACTTCCATTGGGGAAGAAGAATTGTTCTCTAAAACGATTCAAAGATTTTAAAAAACAAAGGTTATCTGATTATTTCCACCGGTGATTAATCGATCGTTCGCTGCCATACACAATTATTTTGCAAATTCACATGCGCTTTATTTTTCATGACATAGGCGTCACCAGAATCCAACCGTGTTCTGTCAAGTTACGTTCGCGTTTCGCTTGAGTTCGTATATTTTATTCTTTCGACACATTCTTGGGAAAGTATGACAATTGACATGTGAAGTGTTCTTGGTTTCTACAATGAAAAAATCCTCATGTTTCTTACCGTCTGACGAGATGAGGAGCTTGTTATTGGAAATTTCTGAGCCACTCTCCGAAATCAGCAACATTTCTTCAGATTCCACTCGTCCAACGCTTTCTGAGATCACAAACGACAGAACAAGCGTTTCCATCACCAATTTTTCCTTTCGAAACTCGAAAATACTCACGTTCGCGAGGGAAAAGATCGAGTTCATCGCAAACTGGGGCAGAGTTCGACTTGCCAGTCTCCCAACTTCCCGCGGGTTTCCGCTGCATCTCACCGGAAGTAGCTCGCTTCCTGTTTCGATTACTCAAAGGACGGGTTTCGTCCACAAGTTCAGAATGCGAGGAATCCGACGACTTAGAACTTTCTAAGCTACATTTAAGCCCTTCCCCGAAAAACTTGGAGATGTCCCAGCATCTCGAACTCCAAGCAACATCCGACGAGTTGCTTCGACGAACAGGAGCCTTCAACTGATATCGTATTTTATCCAAGAGTTGATTTATTTCATCGGCACCGTTCTCTGGAAGGACGTTGGCGTAAACATTGGCGGGTCTGGAAATAAAACGCAGTCATTCAATGTTTCACGTAAGCGTGACTTAACAAAATAATTTTATAAATTTTAAAAATACCGTAAAATAATTTATTCAGAAGATCATACTCTTAAGTATATACGTTTTCGTGCAACTGCAACAGGAAAAGTTCCTTTTAAATTGTCAAACCCACGTCTATTCCCTGTTATTATTTTTCGTTCGCGTCACTAAAATCGGCTCACCTCAAATGACAAATCATCTCGGCGATCTCTTCACCGGAAGAATGCATCGAGAAAAACAGTTTGACCCAGCCCGATTTAGTTTCTTCGATTATCGATCTTTCAGCTCCTGCTACACCCAAAGTGAAAACCCAAGTAGAGGGTTTGATTATCCTAAGGAAATCCTGTTTCATCCAACAGGGACACGACAGATGCATTCTAGCATTTCCGCTTTTCGTCGTGACTAACCCAGCGATTTCCGGAATGCACTGATACAGCTCAAACTTGGCTCTATTCACATGGTACATGTGATTCAAGCCGGCCTACAACAAAACATAAGCGAAGTTTTAGAGATTTCCAAATGATCGCCGAAAAATCAGATATAGAAAAACAAAAGATCTGTCGAGAGCAAATTTTTAAATTCTTCAGTCCGACAACTTCGAGTCGAAATTCCAAGCGACCAGCACAAAAATTCAAGAAAGGGAAACAATGATTTTGCTTCGGGAAACGAAAGAAAAATTACAATACATTCAACTGGTGATTTCCTGGGCCTTAAATTACTTCAAGAATGAGTTGACGGGTTCCTTCGACCAATGAGTCTTCACTTTCTTTTCAAAACACGTCAAGTCACATTTTAATTGCTTTACTCTTTCCTGTCGGGAAAATGAGTCAAAATTCCTCCAGACAATTTCAATTATGAAAGATTAAGGGGGACACCCTTTGAGCTGGGGAGGTTTTTAATGCATTGATTCTCGTAGGGGACAGAGACTTGAAAAAATTCTACTTACGGAAGGTTTGAGTCATCGAGGTTCAACGAATTACTCTTCAGAAGGCGAATTGAAGCCTCATTTCATGGACATTTCACGCACATTTTACTTCAATCAAGGAGTGATACTGTAAAAAGTTTCAAGTTTAAAAACTAGGAGACGTATTGGACTTAGGGAGGTCCGAGTTATCGAGGTTCAACACTCGAACCTCAATAAAATTAATAGCAGGTTCAGAAACGCCAAAAAAATATGCTAAAGAAAAAGAGAACTTCCGAACTCGGCGATGTCTCTCGTTGAAACTTTTTTCCAAAAACTTTTCCGGTTGTACGTCCAGGAAACGGACTCACCACTTTCAAAGCTTGTGACAACTCCACCATCAAGTATTCATGACCAACTCTGGCGGATGTTTTGAACAAAATCTCGTTCCTGACGTCGTTCTTCAACCACGTAATAACAAATTCCTTCAACGCTTCCGCCGACAACTTCCTGTCCGGAAAGTAGCGCATTCGCTCGTAGCAAAAAGTCGTGTCAATGTGCAATGCACGCAGCGGCAACACTTCGCCACTTTCTCGGTGCAAGGAACGCATGCTCCGAAGTTGATCCAAATTCAAACGAATATCACCCGTATACAACACTCGAACATCATCCTCTTGGAAAAGAAACATCACAGCTCCAGGACAATGACCAGAAGGAAGGATTTCCACGGAAACTGATCGTCCCGCGTCCAGATGGACGACTTCGGGCCGATTGAACGTCATCACTCGAATATTTTCACGCAGGAAATCGTACTTCCACGTGTTTTCACCGGGTATCTTCAATAGTAAGTCTCTCGTCAGCTTGCTCATGTAAATGGATGTTTCCGGGTGCTCTTGCAGAAAGTAGTTGAACGTGTCCAGACCCGTCATATGATCTGAAATGGAGAATGACGTGGTTTTTGCTGGTTAAACTCAGAAGAGGAATTCATCGGTGGACCGAGAAAATAAAGCCAACTTTCAATTACAGATATATTTTCCAAATTGATCGGTAGACAATGTCACCTCGAAAAAAAAAAAAATCTCAGTACAGTAAAGTATTTCAAATATATGTTCAATGATAAATACTTTGTAGCTGTTTGGTGAATTTTTGAAGGCTGCCTTAATGCCTTTGACATTTTAAAAATCCAGAGGAAATACTGTATTCACCACACTAATTCCTCGCATCCCCATTTTGATCTTCAGTTTCATGAATGTAGGAAGTTAAAATCTAGGCTAGACACATATACTGTAAGTCATGAAACAGTTTTCAAATGTAACCTTCAAACGTTTCATCAACATCTTAGAATTGAAAATTACGTGAATTAATTGTTTTGTAGAGAGAATGCTCTGTGGAATCCTAGCACTACTTTTAACTCCCATTTTATGTTCTATTTATTACCGTGTTTGAATTGAATTTAAACATGAATTACTTCTCATTCACTGTGTTGTGATTTCAGTGTTCCTCCCATGAATCACATCTTTTACACTCCATCATTTCATGATTCATTTTGAAAACCAAGATCATTTTGAACGCATGTACCTGACCACAAACCAGTGATTGACCTTGTTTCGTTTTTTATTCTACTGTGCGTTAGTCTTTGGTTAGATTCTGCTTCCACCCACCAAGGTGGACAGGAAAAAGATGGATAGATAATCTTATACCATGTAGCAATAAGTTGTGCATATTAAACGCTCCATAGCATGTCCAAAAGGCTATTAGTGAAAGAGTGGAATCCTTTGCTAGATTCCTTGCTTGATTGATACAGCATCATGAGTTCGACAGAAGATTGGCATTTTCCAAAATTTGAAAACTTTCATGTTGCTATGGTAACAAAGCGTAAACATTACTTCTCCCAGGTAATTTTTCTAATTGTCATCCGTCCAAGGAAGTCATCTTCATGCACCAAGAGCAATGGAATTTCTTTTACCAAATAAGAACTGTAAAAAAACAGTTGAAACACAGTAACTCAAACCTCTTCAAGTTGAATACCTCCCTAAGCCAAATTTGTTCAAGTCAGTGCCTAAGTTCTCTCCAAAACACTGAATTAAAAACCTCTCTAAATCAAAGCCTTTCCCCCCTCACATCTTGGTAACTCGAATTTTCTCGAGGCATCTATATTTAAGAGACACATTAAAGAAAAAAGCAATAAAAGTGTAAGTTGATGCAAGCAGAAGACTGATCAGGCAGATAAACCCTTGCCTCCGAGTTAATCATTCTGTTAACTCATTTAAGAAACAATTTAAGGTACACAATGTCACAATTTCTGGTGATTCCTATTTTTGTCCCCCAATAAAAATGGCCGTTTTCTTCATTCGAATGTTTGTACTGGTCCCGTGAAGTTTCAATGTGAGTGACTAAAATGTTTTTTTTTAATATAAAGCTATAACATTTTAGAAGACATTGCTGTTCATAAATCTACTATTATAAAGTTGCTTGCCGTCATCGGTTCGCACTTTTTTTAATTTTCCCTGCCCCCCCCCCCCTGCAAGAACCGGTTTTCCCCCATCTCCTGCTCTTTTCTCCATGCATACTTCCTTTCACCAG